GGTCGTCGCCAACGGCTTGCCGCTGTGGCACGGGTCGCAGCTCGCCCTTGCGCGCGGCCGCATCTTGCAAAAAAAAAGGCCAAGGGTCACGCGAGGTTCCCGCCGCCTGGGCGAGCGGGCGGGGGAGCTGAGCCGGTGCAGATGGCAGCCCGCAGTGCATGGGTCTGTGCCATGCAGGACGGCAGCAGCCGCAGAGGGGAGGGCTCGGTCGCCTTGCAGGGCGCCCCGCGGCCGCGCTGCGGGCACGGGCGTGAATGGCAAGGTACATCGCACCACGAGGCCCAGTGCGAGGCGAAGCGGTCGGAGGTGGCAGAGCGAAGGCCAAGCAAGACCCCCGAACCGCTGTGCAAGTCGAGCACTGCTACGTAAGGCTCCGGCTCTATACGGGGTAAAGGGACTACTTCTGTGCCGCGCACAAGGTGTGCAGCAAGGTATTGGGCTAATTTGCAAGATTTTGCAACTGTGTTTGTTTGCAGCAGGCAACACTGCAACGTCAAGTCCAGAAACCCGGATTGTAAGCTAATCTTGCAGCTCTAGTTGTGTGCACCAGGTGGGCGGGGCGAGCTTGGTCACTGTGTTTACTCAGGAGGGTTTTGGTGAAGTCCTGTCCCGTCGCCCGCTTTACAGCTCGAGCGGGACACCACTGCAACAACCATTTTGGCTCAAGCATTTTGGTTCCACAACCTCGGCAGCAACCTAGTCACTCGGCATGTCCTCCAATTGCGGCGCTTGCAGGGTGCGCCCGGCCGGTGCTGACGGGTCGGCATGCCAAGCTTGTGCCACCATCCACGCCTTGCAACGTCTGGTGCACAGCAACAGCTTGCCTGAGTGGTCCGACAACTTCACCGTACAGGTACTGCGAACCGCCTTCCTCACCCTGGACCTCTGTGCGAAAGGGCCCCCTCAGCAAGACCGAACCGCGGCAGAGGCAGAGGCGAGCCCGGTCACGCCGCCGCAGGCGCGCAAGCGCGACAGCCGCAGCCGCAGCCGCAGCCGCAGCAGGCGTGATCGACCTCGCTTCCCGACCCCACCGCCGATTCCGGCACAGGTGCCAACCGCGCCCCAAGCTACCAGCGCTGGGCGCGGATGTGCACGCCACCGTGCAGGAGCCAAACATCACAAGAACGGTGGCAGGACCCGCTGAGGCACACCCGTTATACAGTTACAGTCAATTCGATTTTTGCAGCCCGCCGGCACGCCGCCGTGTAGCACAGGCGTGCCGCAGGCGGCGCACACACCTTGACATTCACCTTTGATGATCGCGACTGGCGTAAAAAGTTGAGTGACTGATTCCCTGCAAGGGCTCCTTCCCACGCATGCGCCCTGGCGAGTTGTTTGTCTGTCGTGTTCATGTGCCGTGGTATCCCGCCGCGCACGATCGTCGATTGGAACCCTTACGCGGGTCGACGCGTCGGCGAGGCGGCCCACCCTGGTCCCAGTGCCACGCAGCCAGACAGAGAGCGTGCGCTCGACGCGATGGCCCGGCTGGGCATAGGGGATGGTGGACATGGGGAGGCCTACAGGCAAGAGGAGGGTGGTCACTCGTCGGATGGATTCCGCGACTGTTCTGACGGCGACACGATCAACGGCATGACCCCCCCTCCTCCGCGCGCGCGGACTCTCCTACCAGACCTTGTGCGCCGACGCAAGTTGATTCGGCGGTGAATCGCACCTCACCGCCGACACGACCTGACTGGCGTCGGCCTCAACTTTCCAGTGCAACACCTACCCGCAACTCTTGGTTCTACGTGCCACTGTTACTACGCGCAGCAGGCCAATTGGAAGATGCGGTTTCAATCACATGACGGTCGCACGCCGCTCTTGGCGAACGTTGGCAGGCGTTGGCGGTGCTACTGGCAGCCGCACCGCCCATCAGCATCGGTGAACTCGTGGCGTTTGTACACGCGGTGGCGCTGACGGAGGAAGACGACGATGCCGACACGGCCACGACCCTTTGTCGTAAGTTAACCGAGCGCTGCGGGGAGACAGCCGGGCTTCAACAAGCAGTCGCTGCGGCAGCAGATGCCACAGGCTACTTGCATGCCATCGCCCAGTCTGCCTTCCTGCAGGCTTTTGGGGGGCAGGCAGCGGCGGTCGAAGCCGCCGCCCTGGCTCGCAATTTCGCGATGGCATTCTCCATTGCAAGCGGTCCAGCCCTGTCGCAGGTCGATGCTGATGATACCGCACTTGCTGAGGCAGCCGAGGGCACATTTGCACATCGCCACGCCCATGCCCAGCATTGCTACCCCTGCCTCGGCCCTGTTGGATTTTGGACGGCTTGACCTGCGGCTTGAACTCGGCAAGCGAGTCTACACGCTTCAATGCCCTCCACCCCAGACCCGTGGTGCGCTGCGGCAAACGCTGCGCAACGCATTGGAAACTATCATGCATTCACGCGATGAGCAGGTGCAAGCCGCGGGCTGGAAACTGTTCATGCTCGCGCCCCGAATGCTGCTGTACCGTTGCAACGGCCAAAGCCGAATCCCGCCGCGCCGGAAGAGCTATCCCGGCGGGTGCGGATGCTTGCAGACTGCCGTTGGGGTGACTTGCTGGCGGAGGCTTCGGCGGCAGCTCTCGTCGGCCCAGCCCCTCCCCGACGAGATCCACGCAACTCGCACGCCTCCGCCGCAGGTCAGGCAAGTCCCGCTGCCATCATGGCTTGCCGATTACGTCCCCGATGAAGGTACTCTGACATTGGACGCAGAACGGCTCTGCACTAACGTTCGGCCGGCACGGCGGGGAGCCGCCGCTGGCCCGTCGGGATGCACGATGGAACACCTACGGGTCCTGCTTGACGACGAGGACTGCACCGAGCTCCTTGTGGGCGCCGCCGGGAAACTCGTGGCGGGCTCCGTGCCAGGCGAGGTGATCGATGGACTCCGGCTCGGGCGGATGGTCGCCCTTTCCAAACCAAACGGCGGTATTCGTGCCCTCGTCATGCACAGCTGTGAGTAAGGGAGCCAAGCTTCTTTCAGCTCGGCATGTCGGGTTGCATACCAAGGCCGACCTCTGCAAGGTGCCCGTGAGCACCAAACGCATCTGGATGCGGGTTGCTGACCCCACTTCCTCGCGACGTAAGCTTTGCCAAGATAGCTGTGCCGTTCTGCGCTTCTTTCACAGCATTTGAGCTCTGTCGAGTGGCGCCCTCGCCCTCTTAGGCCACCAGCTTTGGTGGCGATGGTCAGGTAACAGCTGCAGATGCCGTTGGCAAAGGTAACCAGTGTGGCGTGGGAGGCTGGTTGAAGTTCCCGAGTGGTCGCACAGTATGGTTTTCCCAGCTTTTTGATGTGCAGCAGTTTACAGCTTTGCGCATACCGGTCCAGAGTCCAGAGTGACGCCAACCTGGACATCTCTAGCTACGAGACCTTGGCACAGTGCTTCATTCTGCTTGCTTTCTGGAAGTTCTCAGGTGCTGGCCGCTTGGCTTTGAAGTTGCCAGCTCTCAGTGATAACAGCGGGGCAGAGGCTGTGTGTAACAAGCTCTACACCTCCAAAACCCCCCTGAACCTCTTTGTTCGCAAGCTTTGCATGTGGAGTGCGCTTTCTGGCATCACACTTGACTGCAGCCACATTGCTGGCGAGAAGAACGATGATGCAGATTTTCTTTCCAGATGGTATGGCAACAATGCTACTCTGCCATCACGCTTCAAGCAGGAGGACAGGTTCCCAGTCGACCTGCCCGCTTTTTGGAATATAACCTTTTCCGTTTCACTTTTTCCAGAAAACACAAAACTTCTTTGGAAGCCTCCAGCTTCCTACACACTTGGACCTGCTTCTGCAGCTTCAACAGGCCAGCGCTAGCAGCACCTCTCCTGCTTTCTTTACTGGGCAGTGCCGCGGTGCTGCGAGTTTCGGCTTGCCAGTTTTCAGCCCGGGCTTTTCGTGACTGCAGCAGCTTAGACTTCGTGGCGGCTCCGCTTTGGCCGAAGGCCTGCAGCCACCAGACAGCAGCAGTCACTTCCGGCAAGCCGAAACAAAAAGAGTGCAGTGCGAGTGTTATGTGCATGTCTTCAGCTTTGATGCTTACATGTCCTCTTAGTTCCGCTTTGCTGTAAGTTGCTCGCACGCTGTAGCCCATGTGTTAGTTGCGTGGTGTAGGACTTACCATGAACCCTGCATTCTTTCATTTTTTTTCTGTTCAAGCACGTTTCCCGTCGCCTGGGAATGCTGAAAAGCACTTGTCCCCCTTTAATTAACTGATGTAATTATGGTCGAGAAGGGTTTTCTGAGCTTGCACAACCTCACAGCAAACCAGTTGTCCATGCATGCGCGATGTATCGTGGTTGGCGTGACTGTTTCGACACGCTGCCATTTTGGTCCTGGATTCAGTTGTTGCACTAGCTGCTGCGCTTCTGCCAGCCTGGCGCTGATCACAATCAATCCGGTAGCACTTCGAAACAGCTCGGTTTCATGTGTGGTTTTGCCCAGAGTAAAGCACCAGCTTTCCGGATCACAACCGAGGCCATGCCCAAAGCAAGCTCTCCAGATGCAACTTTGAGCTTGGGCCTGGGCGTCGGCGTCGTCCGCATGTTGAGATATGTTGAGTCCTTGCAAGACGAGTCCTTTTGAGTGTGGCTCGAGAATTCCCCCGCAGTGCGATTGCACGAGATTCAGATTGCTCATGCCAGGGTCAGTAACCCACATGTCGACGTGTACTCGCGTTCATTGTTTCATCAATGTTTGCGGTATAGAAGCTGGGATGACTTTCTGTGCGGCGGCCCTAAATTTTCAGCATGCGATGAGCTGGGAAATGCAATCGAGGACGGCGAGGACGAACAGATTCCGCAGATTTCCGGGGCAACACCACCGAGGAGGATCAAACAAACTTCCTGCAAATCGGTTTCCTCGGCCAGCTTCGTGAGATTTCCGCAGCCGACAGGACACAGATTTGGCAGATGATCCGAAGAGTGAGCAGGCACACGCTTGTGCCGCCATAAGCACGAAAGGGAGTTTACAATGCAGGAGTCTGCCGCCCTAAGAACCGCTCAAAGCACGACCCTCAGATTTGGAAGTTGTGGGAAAGGCTCACCTCTCTTCGTGCCCAGGCAATGAAGGTGGTGAAAAGTTATTGTCGCGGCAACCTTACCGCCAGCGAAATCAATTTGCTTCCCTGTTGCCGCCCTTGTCATCGCTTGTTGCAGGAAGGTAAAAATGAAAAAAATGATGGTGCGGGCAGCTCTGGCCCTAGCGCCCCGGGACTGTGATTTTGCAGTATTTGATAGCATTTGCTGTGTTAGTGTTGTCAGCAGAGTCTTTCGAGGTGATGGGCGTCAGCATGATGGTCACCTTCGGCGGGGTAATCTACTTAGGTCTTGAGCCTATCGTGATTTGCACGCCATGGTGTCAGCTCCTGGCTGGAAACCTCGCTGACGTCTCTGCCATATCAGGTCATTGCTATTTGTGTCTACTGGTTTTTGCATTGCCGGAGACCGCAGTCATGATATGCCGTGCAAAAAAAAAAATTCACCCCTTGAAGTAGGACGCAGATCGAGGCAATGCTTCATTTTCTTCGAGCTCGTTGGGGTGCATGCCTCAATTTCGCTAATGAGGTTGTTCGTGGTTGCGTCTTCTTGGTTGAATAATATGTGCATATACATATACATATACATATATATATATATATATACGGCTGTATATCCCTATCTATCACTCTCTCTCTGTAGTATATATACACATACAGAAACGCATACCTGATTTTCTTCACCCTGCAGCTCACACACATGCACACGCACATACACGCACGCGCGCACACACGCACATAGAAATATATATATATATATATACACATGTTTGTCTATTGCGCACCGACACTCCAGAATCGCTTCTCCTGTCGTCCAGATTCATCCAGGTTCGAAAGCGGCAGGCTGCAGAAAAAAGGCTCGCACCGGTCGATCTAGCCAGATGTCGTCACATGTCGGGCTGCGTGCTTGTACCAGAATTGTTTGAATGATCTGGATGTTCCGCTCGCGGTTGGATTTGGATGGATTGCATTCATCAACCTTCAGGATGCCTCAGGTCGTGGGCTACACGAGATATATCAATGCACCCAGATGGCGGGAAAGTTCCAGAATTGAAACACATGTTCTTCAGACTTGCTGGATGAAGCTACTCAATTTGGGGCAGTTTTGTAAGCATAGCCATTGCACGATGGCTTTGGAATCAGGATCTCCAACGATCACAGATGATCCAAGTCATGCCTTCAAGCGATGTGGTCGTGAAGGCTGCCTCTCTTTCGTTCGATCCAATGGGCTTGGCTTGTGCCTCAAAGCTCCGATCAGCTACCCTTTATCTTCGCTGAACCAGGGACACGAGAGATGCAACTTTCGATGCACGGTATCTGCGAACCGGTTGAGGTTTTTCGTTGCAGCATTCTTCACCTGGTCGGTCAGCGTCTGAGCTTTTTGCGTATGCTCCAGCTCCACACCGCCTTGCAATTCTGCAGTTCGGGACACATCCAGAAATTTCGTTTAACTTGAGAAGATGTCGAAGCCCACCAGGTGTGGAGCCCTGCCAGAACCTTTCGTGACTGAGGCCAGTATCTGTCAGTTCCTCGAGAACAGCCGCTGGCCCATGACATGCTTGCAAGAAGTTAGTCGAGCGGCACGCAGTGCCCCACGCATAGAAAATAGGTCCTCGATTCACGGCTTCCTGGTCGGTGGCCGCAGACCTACAACCTTAGCTACACGAGCTCCGCAACCGTTCTGGCATCAATTTCAGTTCTTTGGTTGTTGGTTCTTGGAGTCCCATTTTGCGACTACTTGTTAATGATGTTGTTATTGGTGCGGACAAAATCCGCAGCCCGTACGTAATGCCTTTTTGAAGCAATTCGGAATGCTTCCGGCGATCCCATAGATTGCCTGTAGAGTTTGTGGAATGCAAACCATGGCTTACACTGCATCTGGCCCATGTTGTAAATTGGGGGGGGGGGGGGAAACCCACCAGTTTTTGTCATTAGCAGCAGGGAGAAACAAAGGCCCCATTGAAATCAGGACTTTGTCTTCACCTGCTTCCAGGGAGAAAAAATGAAGCCCCTTCTTTTGTTTCCACACCCCCCCTTGCAACAGCTGCCAACATTACACCACAATGTCCATCCCAGGTACGGTTGTCATGGGTTTTGAGGGGTTTTTTTATTCATAATTACATAAGACATTACAAGCTCCAACATGCCATCAACACCATGTGAACATCCATCAAAATCCCATTAAAGCCACACGTACCAAAAACTTTGCAAAATCTCCTTCAAGTACAAACCTTCAGCATGCCATGGCAAAATCTGGTGCTGTTGCTGCTGTTGCTGTTGCTGTTGTTGTTGCTGTTGTTGTCGCTGTTGTCGCTGTTGCTGTTGCTGCTGTTGTCGGTGTTGTTGCTGTTGCTGTTGCTGTTGGCACGCCTCCAAGGCGAGGCTGGCCCTGGAGAACAACATGCTGGTAATTGCCACAGAGAAAATGGAAGCAGCTGCAAGCAAGCTCATGCAACTTGTTTTGCGCTCGCAGGTCTCGTTCTCACTGTACACGCTCCTACTTATGGTCTCCGTTCTGAGCCTTCGCAAGGGGCTTTACAAGCGCCGCTCTCAGCATCATAAGTCGCTAGTCTTTCTACCAGAGCGCGGAAGCTTGAAGACGCAATCCTGCAGGTACCAAATTACACAGTACACTTGGACCATGGTCACCATATGCCCTTAGCCCAGCTGGTCTGTGCGGAACAGGAATTTTAATGCACCGCGACGCGCTGCGCTGAGGCATAGTTGTATTTCAGACTCAAGCTGCACCAGCCTCAAGCGGAACACAGCCATCTCTCGCAGATGGAAGTCGTGAACCTCCGCTTGGGCAACACACTCCGTCAGACCTGAAGCTGCAGGTGTTCCATTTGATTTACGCCGGACTCTTTTGGTTTGTCCTTCCTTCCTCACTCGTGATATGCTTTGGTCCTCAGCTTCCCTGTTGCTGTGACATGGGGAGTCGCGACAAATTGCCGCACGACCGAGGTAATGACATCATGGCATACTACTGCGGGCAGCAACTCGGGCATGCTTGTTCCAACGCTTTGGTCGACAGCATCATGGTGGGGCATGACCAAGGCTGTTTGGAAAGAAGCTCATTCGGAGAAGGTTCTTGGAACTGCGCAGCTCTCAAGTGCCAGTCGCTTCTTCCATGCTTTAGAGTGGAGATGTGGGTCGATCAAGTCGTGACTCCGTCCAGAACACCCAAGCTCCCATAGGCTGGTAGCTCCAGTATGATCTGGAAACTTTCGGTAGCCTTACAACATTCAGCCCTTGCACATTTTGTCGCTTTGCTAGCATAAAGCAGTCGCACACAATGCGCGACATGTCACTGGGGCAGCAAAATCTCGATCATTGGTCCGAAAAAGAGCTGCCAAAGCTAAGGCCTCCAACCCCATGAGTTTCCCGATGAGAGGGTGGCCATGAGCAGAGATGAAGATGCATGTACCTCCAGCCCAGGTCTCCAAACAAAACCTGGGAAGGATTTCTAGGAAGTGCTGCCCAGGGCCAAGCCAGCCAATTGTGTTTGGCAGAGCTGTGGTCAACTCGCAGACTGCACCCGGTCGAGGTTTGCACTATGCTTTTCGCGCTATGGTTCTCCAGGACTTTGCACTGCACATGCCGACCATTCCGGCTTCCCCTGTCCCTCAAGCAATTGCTCAGGTGGTCATGCTGTAAAGTGTTCATGGGTATGCCCCGCTTAAGTGCAGGGTGAGTCCAAGTAGATGATTGCACAAGCTGTGGTCCCGGAGCTGTTTAGCACAGACGGGCAGGAAGTTGTGCGCTTACAAATGGATGACTTGTGTCAGGAACCCAGTTTCAGTTGGAGTGAAGTTATCGCCGGCTTGCTCGAATTTCTATCTATGCCTCCATTCAATGAGGTGGCGCGAACGCATGTTAAAGTGCACCTACGACTTGCTTTTGACAGTTGCCCAACAGCGTTCGCGCAGTGCCTCCTGATACTCTGGCCTGCCGTTGCATGCCCTTGCATAGCGAGACCCTTGATGATGGAACGGCACAGAGAGAGAGAGAGAGAGAGATCACAGTCCCTTCAAAGCCCCATAACACATGGGGGGCCATGTGGCCGAGGGACCTAAGCAAACACATCAGTATTGAAATCAGTTCGTAATTCAGAGGATGATTTTCTCAACGACACAAACCCCAGCATCGAAAACAAGTTGCATTTCATAGTGTTTCGACATGATACCCATAACACCAAATCGAAGCAAACACATCAGTGTTGAAATCAGTTCGTAATTCACAGAATGCTTTTCTCAACGACACAAACCCCAGCATCGAAAACAAGTTGCAATTCATCAGTGTTTTGACATGATACCAAAAACACCAAAGTCGAAGCCCATTTGTAACAAAACGAACCCCATGCACAAAAAAGCTGCCTTTGTGGCCGCATTCCCGCCCCACCCTTTGTTCGCAGTTGTGCCTGCTGCCGGTGATACTGCTCATGATGTTGTGCTGCGCTAGTCGGCGACGCGAGTAGTGACGCGAGTTGACAATCGGATCATCTTTGACATCAGGCTGAACATCATCATTGTCGTCGTCATCTTCCTCATCAGTACCGTCAAAAGAACAGCTGTCACCATCACCATCACCATCGCCACACAACCCTTATAGTTAATCAACGTAATTCATGTCTGATGCGGGAAACTACTGCGCAGATTGCCGCTTTCTGCACGGAGCAGGGGTTCGGTCCCGTATGACAGCCCCAATCCGCACAGCAGCAGGCGAC